TTAATACTATTAACAAAGCTTCAAACACTATTATTTGCCAGCTAGAAATTGCACAAAGCCAGGCTCTGAGAAGACTTTTCAAAGTGCCAAGGTACATTAGGACGAATGACATCCTCAGGGATCTCAAGATTGATCCCATAAAAAAATACATACGGGGCAGTGACCTGAAACTATTTGCGAAAACTAACAGACTTACCAACACCGCATTATCCAATCTCAGAATAGTTACAGGCTCCCCGGGGAGACTGTGCAGATCTGAGGTCAGTCAAGTCAAGGTGTAAAGAGGGGGTTTTGAAAATATCTCGAGTTAAGAAAGAGTAAAAGTACTACTTAACAGTTATACTTAATACTACTTAATAATTTGCTAATTAAAAACCAGGTAATAAAAAATTGTAACGTTTTTACTTTAAAAACATTAGTATACGTCTGTAGGGCTCAATACTAACACTTTAATATGAAATGTTGCTTTGATTGAAATCACCACTACCCAACAACATCAATAGCAGTGACATTGATAAAAATTTTTAAGTCAGAACACATAAACTTTTAAAGTAAAGTTCTGATTCCATTTAATTACTCTTTCTTAGAACGATAATCCAGTGTGGACCCTTCTATCTTAACAACTTATCTTTAACGCTTTCTTTTTGCTCACTGTAAGGTCTAAAATATTTTATTCAAGCATATATTTCAAGCAAATATTTCAACATTAGTGTTGTAACTCTTTTTACCTCTTAACTTCTATGGTTTCACTATGGCATAGGTGCCTTCAAAAGAAATTGATCTGAAACTTTAAAAAGAGTTTCTCGTGGTTGAATTAATTATCAGCGGAGACCTTATGGCAAACATCACACAAAGTCTTTTGTCCATTACACCTCCGAAGAAATATGCATTGAGGATTATGTTTCTGTGAATTACTTAAGCCCCACCAACATCTTTACAATTACCTACCAATTCTCTTAAATATCTTTATGAAATCCAATTCAATTTCCATTCTATTTAAGAAATCCAATTTTTGTGGTCTATGCTCTCAACATAGAAATTTTTAAAATTGGAGGAAAAACTTCATTATAAGAAATTAATATGTCTCATTCACGTTAATGTTCTCAGACCAAAATTAATCTATTAAACCGGTTCCTCTCATAAAAAGGTTGGAGATGGTGCTAATGCTTGTGTAGTTTATTAATATACTAGAATGACTCTTATCATATAAAAATAATATGTCTAAATTATAAATGTTAACCCCTTCAGTCCTGGTGTTGCAACATATATGTCCAACTGTTTATTTTAGTCAAAAAAAATAACTTTTTTTACAAAATAGGATACGTCGTTTCCCGTTTTTCTAAATTAATAAAACACTTAAGCGAATATAACTTTATATAAATTTACTTTAATTATAAATAAAATTATTAAATTGTCTCAAAGACATGATATCAAACATTTGGTAATGGTAATAGTTTATGGGTTAGGTCAAGGCGTTTATGCACTGCGACCAGCTTGATCTATTGTGCACCCCTTGGTACTTATAAATTTAGTATATTGAAGAAACGAGACAGGTATGCACCTAAAATTTTGTGTCTACTGTGCCCTAGTGCATCACAGTTGGTGATCAGATATTGCATAGACTTTTCCTCATCACAACAGAATCTGCAAATATTTGTGTAGAATATATCTATTTTGTGCAGGTGTTGATGCTTCAGAAATATATTTCTAAATAAAAAAGATGAACTATGCAAACATTTTCGCATAAAAAGCTCATTTCTCTGAAATGAAATATAAAAAAAACGGAAAATTCTTTCATTGCGAAAAAATAATACCTCAATCCTTGTAGCTATTATCACCAAGTAATGCCTCATAGGCCACTCGGTTATAAGCTTGGTTCCATTATTTATATCATAAATTATTTATACACTTTATTTTACGAGTTTTTGCTATTTAAATAAAAAAATGTGACATTAGAGGATAAAAAGATGATTTATATCGGGTCTACGTTCTTTCCGATTATATATCTTAAATGCATTGAAATATGTTATATTTTAGTAGTTTTTAGTTAGATAGATATTTAGCTAATATTTTGAGTACAACATCTTTAATAATTGTTATATGCAGAAATGTTTTCTCCAGACAAAAATATTGAAATTTCAAAATATCATACATAATAGTTAAGAAAATTTATGCAACTGTCGTGTATGCATGTAGTTCTTCTAAAAGCATAGCATAGCAGTTACATATAGTGTTTACATATAAAGAACAAAAATTGAAAAAACTCTAAATATGAGTTACACACAAGTCTACGGTTCAAAATTGACAGAGCTCAACACCTAACAGTTTCAGTTCCAATAGATGTACCCAAGAGCCACTAATGATAGATATTTGAACGAAAGTAAAATAACTGCATGCTAAAATATCGTACGACGAAGTAAAATGTTTGGGTGTAGAGCCCTCAAACAGCGGCCTTCTTAACACAAAAAAAGAAACGCATTCATCAGATAAAATCTTCGTTTAATTCTTTTGTCCCAGAATAAGTTTTTAATCACTTAAATTTCTTTTGAAAATATTTAAGTTTTTGTTTTTCTTCTGCCCAGTGCAAAAGGAATGCTTCAGTTTTAAGATTTGGATTTTATATTCGTCAATTGAAATTGCATACAGAGGAGTCGTATCTTACAATTAAAAAAAATAAAAGAGCAATACTTAAATAAGAGATTATTTTTAAGTGCCTCATTAATAAAGTTAACTTTAGTCAACACCAGATTTAAATTTAATTATAATATTTTGAGATGAGAGAAAGAAATAAGAGTGTAAAATTTATTTACGTTTTAATGCATGATGGAGATTTCTTTTTTATATGTCTGAACTCGAATCATACAGAAATAAACAATTATGATCAGAAATTAATTAAAAGTATATGATATCATTTGTTTAAAATTATATCTTCATGGCACTTTCATGAGTCTTCAGAGAGCCTGACTTATAGCAAATTGTAGCTTCTGCATTGTAGAGGTGGCAGCTTTCCAATAAGGTAAACTGCTTTTTTGTAAGTGTTTTTCAGGTAACTTTTGACAGCGTATTAGTTTTCTCAGACCAAATTCATTTTCTTCTCTTGCAGATACCTATCTTTAATTCGAAAGAACTCATTGCTAATTTCTACCTATTAGAAGTTCGAACATAATTGTCCTTGGCACTTTCGTAGCTAAGTCACGAAGAAACTCTGTTCAAAAAGAATACTGTATTACCAACAATCCAAAAAAAACATTTTTAAATGCAGCTTAACCAGCAGTCTCTAGATCGATTTAGAAAGGATACAAATTATTTTATACATCGTTTCATCACAAAAGATGAGACTTGAATTTATCATATACAAAGAAAATTATTTTCCATCATAAAAATGCAGTTCTAACACAACTCATTGCCAAACTCATTCCTAAAATCACAGAATTAAACTATAAATTGTTATAATAAGCAGCCTGTTTGGTTATGTGGTTACAGTGACAGGTCAGCAAATATCCCTTCCACTTCTATTAATTAGCAGTAATTCGCCAACAAACCTGAAGAGAGGAAATCTAAATACATCTCGTTGAAGTATTCTCTGTACAGACTGTACATTCTGGTAGCTAAAGCTGGGTAATCGAAGTACTTGATTGTTTTTTCCCTCCAAGTTTTCACAATTTCTGCAATGAGTATTAAAAGGAATGTGCAGTTTTCTGCTAGGGTTCCAATACACCAGTTATCATAGAGGATTATAGTCAGCCAGTATTCATTAGGACATTGTTAATGAATTCCCCAGACCTGGTCTTCTAATGTGAGGGCTGGGTCTACCGGCAATTTACGCAGGAACTATGTGTCTTTCACTTATTAATAGTTACTGCTCTACAAACTATTACAATTCTAATACACCTTATGTGCAAAATAGTGTGTGGGGTACAATAAATTAAATTAATCCGTTAAGGGATCTATTGACTTAAAAATATTTTAATACAATTTTAATTACAATGGTTTTTTATATGAAAAGAAAAGTTAATCAGTTATGTAATAAAATTTATTTAGTAAGGATCATTTTACAATAGCTGATTTGATATACCTTTTATAACACGAACGTCTTCTAAATAAAAATATCTTTTGTGATTCATTTTGTAACCACTGCCCACTACGGATTCTATCACGTTTTCAAAACAAGACAGTTTTAATTGAATATGTAAATAGAATATAATAAAAATGATATTGTATCAAAATCGCAATGTAATGTATAACTAGCTGTATCTCCAATCTATCTTAAATATAATACATTTTAATTTCAAACTAATTGGATCAACGAAATCGCGCGCTACCAGAAGAATACAATAAATGAGGTTCAGATGTCGGTATACGAGACATCACTTTAAGCCACACTTCCCTAAGCAAACAGTTTAAGTAACAAATAAATTAAATGACGAAAAGAATCTCTCTGGCATTTATTTTTTTCTTCGGAAAAAATACAAAAAGGCTTGTACCAGAACGCTTCATGGGTATTTTGAAAACCAATCACTTTTACTACCTTGTCGAAACCGTCCCAAATCTGGAAACTAGCGAAAGCCAGGCTTTCTAATTTGTAATTAACTTAAGTAATTAATTTTACCATAAAATTTTATTCTTGATGATTCAGTAAATGAGCAATTAAGGATGATTTGACGCCAATATTTCAAAATATCGTAAAAAAATTAGTTGGAAAGTGTGAATTGAAGAATGTAGAAATAAGGTCCACAAATATTTGTTTCATGAGAACAATAAATGACTATATTATTTATAAAACTAATTATCTGCAATACAACAATTTTCGAAAGTCATCTAGACTATCATTCATTCTAAGAAAAATTCATTCGAATTTAATTTTTATCAACACAGATATTTTTATTAATTTTCTTGCATATTAAACTTTTATAACTAAACAATAAACAATAAACAAATAAATAAATTAATTAAAAATAAATAAATTAATTAAAAAAATAATAATTTAAAAATAATAAAATAAAAATTAATTCGAACTGCAGGCGCTTTTAATTTAATTTTTAATTAATTGATAACCTAAGCACGCCAAGCTTCCAAGTTTACAATAGGAATTTGTGGGCTATTGCAACGAACTGGTTGATTGCTGTAGAAAAATCATAGAACATATATAGAAAAGAATTAGTAATTTAATTAGCAAGAATCATAGATCATTAGCAACTTTTGTACCAGGTACAAACATTAACATACCCCGGAAAGTCAGCACGCACAAACGCTGCTGGCGGCACTTCTGTTAAAGTTAAATGATCCGAATTATCACAGATAAGACGGGCCATGGTTACTTTGCGAATTTCATGTAACTGATCTAGGTTAAAAGCACCCGGATTAATGTGTTTGTTGTATTCATAATAGTAGCGATCGCCATGCTTGAAACGTGAAAATTGATCGGCAATAATTTCAGCAAATGTAATGCCTACAATCCCATCCGGTACTGCTTTTTCTAACAAACCGCCAATCCAGAGATCAATATCATCTGGCGAATTATATACTTTGGATAATTTTTGCGCAATCTGTCAAAATAAAATAAAAAGGAAATGGAAAGGAGCAAAATTAAATTTTGTTTGGTGCGAGAGAAAATGGGGGAAAAAAACTGATATTAAAAAAAATTTATATACTTCCATTCGAAATATTATTAACAAGATTTTTCAGTACTTACATCTGAAGGTAATTGCTTAAAACTGCGTAATTTTCTATGACCCATTAACTCTAAATAATCGTTATAACAATGCAATCCCTGATCTCTGCCACGTTGTATATTTATAGCAGCCAAATCAATACCAAACGGATTATGTCCACGAAAGAGGAAACGGCTTAGCTAAACGAGGTTAATGTGAAATCAATAAAATCTGTAAACAAAATTATTAAAAATGCTTACACCACGGGTGACAGAAGTATCGACAGTTTGCATGGGTTGAAAAACCAAGGTATTTAACATGTTATCGTAAAAGCTACGTTTACGCATACGCGAAGGATTGAACATCACATCCGGTATATTGATGACTTCATCAACATTGTTTTGGTGATGTAAATGGAATTTACCATCAACACTCGAATGGCCCATGCGAAAAGCAGCACCAGAAAACTCATTAGTTATGGCTGGATTGATCCTATCACTGTATTCACTAGAGTAACCATGATGTAGAGGCACCAAACGGAAGCGTTTCATTTGCATTGCACCCACTACAATGGGTAAATATTCGTTATAAATTATGTGTTGAAGCTCAGCTATAAGAATTCGACGTGCTTCCTGGAATATTTGCTCGTCAGAGTGTTGAGGATTCATGCGATGCAAAATGCCAGCTATGCGATTATGCTCACGAGCAAAGAGTATATGTGTTGTTATGAGAGAAATAATCTGGTTCGTGCGACCGTCACCTTAAAAAAAGAATTAAAGATCAATTAACAGTGAGCATTCCTGATATTTATCAGATCAATATTTTGGATCCAAATATTAACTACAATTTGCGTTCCCTTTTTTACGATAATATTAAGTCCATATAAAATCCACAAATTTTTTTTTAATAATTAAGTTATAATTATCAAGCATTTAAGAAATTTTTGGAATCTAAACCAAACACTAAATACAACACATTTTAAATGAGCTTCTAGTATACAAAGTATATTTTTTAGTTTTAAGTTCCTATCATCATTTATAAGATAAAAATACCTCGACTTGGACTAGTTTATTTAAATTAATAATGTAATAATTAATAATATAATAATAATAGTTACTAACCTGACTTAAAACAGGATTGGTCTGCACTTTCACTTCCACAGGTTTTCTTATCATTCGTTAAGGGCAACAAATCACGTCCAAAGTCGTGCAGCATACGCAACCTACCGCCTTGAAAAACTCGTAAATCCTGCGCAGTTTCCATACTTGATCCATAAACCGGTGAAGCATCCAAAAAGTGTGTAACCTTACTACGCTGTTTGCCATAACGCATCTTACAATCCTCATGCGGATATAGTGAGAGGCGGACGAAATTCATGCAGCGAACATTAAAGGTACTGTAGAACTCATCATCCGGTGACACATCAATAGGTAGGCAAGCAAAGTGACGATTTTCTTTTGGCAACATGTGGAGTCCGTCTGGTGAACAACATTGCACTAAATCTCCATTTTCTTAAAGAAATAAAAGCATAAATTTTCACGTTTTATTTCCAACGCAATTTATATGCCAACTAAAATTTTTATAAAAATAAGATTCCATATACTATAGTCCACAAAAGCTGCGAAAGTTTTAACACAACTTCTTTCATCTATTCGTTTTAATAATTTTCTTATTTAAATTTCTCTTACTAGTTTGAATTAAAAATATTGCACAAAATCTGACTTTAAGAAGACTAATTAAGATTCCTTGGTATATTAGAACAACAAACATGCATAGAGATCTAAGAATCAACTCAGTGAAAAAGTATATCAAGGACAGAGCACTGAAATTATTCATAAAAGTTGATACGTTGCCCAACCCCGCTCTAACAAACCTTAAGTCCACCTCAGGACGCACAGGAAGATATGCTGATCTACGGGCCGTTATCAGTTAGAAAATAAATAAATGATAATTATTCTAGTACAGTTTAAGTTTAGTGTGGGGCAGGGATAAGCCCCCAAGCCACAATAGAGTAAAAGTGCGCAATAGCACTAACTCAAATCACAACAACAACAACAACTAAAAATATTTTTTACTTATATATTGTATAGATATATTGTAAATATATTGTTTATTTATATATTCATTATATTCATATACACTTAAAACTTACCCCATCTCACTGAAGCAGTTTGCGAGACATCATGTGCTATAAATTGTCCAAACTGCATTACCAATAAGTTATGCTTCGGATGTGGTCTGTTAACGTCGGCAATTAGCTTGCGAGAAGTTTCACGTGCACCCAACAATGGCTTACCGTCCACCGAATGCATACGCGGCGTCCATATACCATCCTCATACGCCGGTGGCAGTAAGCGCTCCATCGGCTGGCCGGCAGCACCCCAAAGCGAACGATCTGACAAAGGATTATTACAGGAACCATCGAAACTACGGTAACGTGCTCTTGGATTTCTGCAATGATGTGGTGGCGCACAATGATGCGCTAAGGGCGTATCTTTGAAATCAACGTGCAAGTTATTCGTAATAATATCATCGATAGGTATTTGTTCTCTATAATTTATAGGGGAATATAAGGTGGTTAGTTACTAAAGGAACCAACAGTCTTAATTACAATTACACATACTTTTGAGTGAATATTTGGCTGGTAATGACTTGTTGCATGGCAGAGTTACTCAGATGAAAATTTTGTATGTCTTCCTTAGGCGTTGAGTGAAAAGCAATGCCATGGAAAAAGTCTGGATGGCCTTGCTGAACTGGTAACATTGCAACGTGGTGCATCAGTTGTCCTAGTTTCAAACGTGCTTCCTCAACAATGCTTAAGGGTAGAAATGTTGAGGATGGCATTCGTGCCTTATCCGTGTTGATACCTTTTGATTTGGTATGTTAATTAAAGAAAAAAGCAAATTAATTGTGCGCACCTGTATGATTTTGTCCAGTCACACAGCAAAAACCAAATGTTCCTCCAGGCAAATCACAAATTTGTGGCTTTTCATGATCCTTCATACGTACATGTGCTGGACATTGTATTTGTGGCACGCAAACTATGCTCTCCGGGCAAGGATCGCACTTTCCCAATAGACTTGAGGTTGGTGTTTTGTCATTACCTTTAAAAAAAAACAATAATGAATGCAACATATTACAAAAACAAATGTGGCTTCCATTTTGAATTTTTGCTCCAATAATATTTCAATAAAGAAAATGCTTGGAAATTATTGTACAATATTAAACCAACCATTGTTTTGTTCTTCCTCTTCCAGCATAATCTTTTCCTCAATTGGTAAAGTTGGTTCTTCCTGTTCACTGGCAGAACGCCAGGCCATGTGATTCACGGAAAAAGCTTCCACATTTTGCTCCACAAAATTGAAGCACACAAATAAATTGAAATAAAAAATTAATATTAAGAGTTTATGCTCCCGCATATTTGCAGGATTTTTACAAGCAATTAATTAAAATTATTAAAATATAAAAATTTTAATTTTTACAAGTGACGAAGCAATTATTTGAACGAATAAACGCCTTTAAAACCAACTCCAAATTCTAACTAAAATTGCCGGCAAAACTGCAACTACTTTTCACTCACTGGAGTCATTCGGCAGTAATACAGTTCTAACTGGAATTATATATATAAATATATATATATGGATATACATACATGTATATATATTTGCATTTACATTTTGCTGCAAAACATATTCAAACGTTCATAAAAAATGTTGAATTTAAAAGCATTAGAAGAAAAATGACCCAACAGGAAATTTAGCTATTCTTTAAAGTAATGGATTACTTTAAATTGTATTCATATTAAAATTGTAAATTTAAAGTACAAAATTAATCATATTAATAAGTACAAACTTTGCGTACAGAAAGTAAATTTTGTTTCAACGTATAAAAAATTAATAAATAAATAATTTCTTTAGAATAGTTTTATTTTTTATTAATACTTTTATTTCTTATCTTTATTTTAAGCTTAAATGTTTAGATGATAATTTAATAAAAAAAATATAATAATTAAAAATGTAAATAATCAACGCTTTAAGTGATAAAAAAGTTTGCCTACAAAAACAATGGTCTAAAAACAATGTAATGTTTTTAGTAGCTTGTCCGATAACCTTTCCTTTCTGTAACCTTCATAAATTGTTTTGGAATCGAATTGACCAGGTTTGCAGTCTCATTGTTGCTTTTTTTCCCATTCCGCGACTATCACGTTCTTGAGCATTTTTTTTTAGCAAATCCCATAAATATTTTATAGAATTCAAATATGGCAATTGTGGTGTTGTTTAGACTTGCTTTGGCACATTCTAAAGTAACTTTTGTCGTTTGTTTTAGGTCGTTATCTTGTTAAAATAAGTATTGAAGCTATAAGACCAACTCCTCGGCACTGCTCTTTAAATTCCATTTTAAAACGTTCAAATATTAAAGTTAGGTATTATCGACTAATTTTTCCAACTCCATTACTCGCTGTATACCCCCACACCATTACTCATCCATCACCGTGTTTTATATTGTTGGATACAAATTTTATTTGTTGAACGCAGTACCCAATTTTCACGAAATAATCTTTTCCTCTGAAAAAATCGTGTTTCTGAAATATTGTGGACTTATTTACAAACTTCCTTGAGAATGCTAAACGTTTAATTCTATTAACTTTGGAGACAAGCGGTTTCTTTCATATAATCTAGCCATGATAGTTGAATTTTTTTTAATATTTCACTTACAATATCCACGTGAATTTACGTCTGGAATATTTGCTCAATATATTTCTTCAATTGAAATCCAGTTAGACGAGGATAAGCTTTCACTGAATTAGTAATGCTGCGTGTTTCTCTTGTTGACAGTTTGGAAGGACGTCCAGAATTCTTCTTCGAGATTAATAATCCAATTCACTTTTACTTGTTCACCTCTCTTGAATAGAAGAATGTGCTCACTTAACAATTGACCTATTTCGCGATACGTTTTCCCTTTTCTGCATAGGTCTATAATAATACTTCTCTCACTGCATCGATATCTTTTCGTTTATTTGTTATTATAAAATTAATTTTTAATAAATTAGCTTTTAAATATTTTAAATTTAAAATAAATGCATGGAATTGTGTATTATAATAGACTGATTCAGAAAAACCAAGCAAATCAAAGTTCTGGAATTCCCCTTTTCATGTTTTGTACGCAGACTCTTTCTGAAAATATTTTATGCAGAAATTACTGAAAAGCTTTAAAGCAAAAATTAAGTAAATCATATGTTTTTATTCCAACTGATCAATTTATTTGAACTAAGAAACGGTGATTTTTAAAATTTCATATTTATTGTTTTATTAATATGTATTATTATTTCAATCTTAATTTTGAAAATGAATTTATTACGCAAAAAGTGTACTCTACTACGAAAAACGATTTCGTCTCGTCATAAGTAATGTCAAATGTTTCTGATATCAGCATATATCCAATATTTTTGAGCTTTCTGGAGATAATTGTAAGCTTTCAACTACTATTAATGTTTTGCTACTGATGAAGTGAAGCTTGGTTGGTGATGTTATGCTTCAAGCTGCCAAGAAGTTCATCATCAACTAAGAGACTAAGCACTTTATTAAAGCTATTCTGTACTTCATTTACTGTAGACTGTTAGGCAGCTGATGTGTTGATAGATTTGGGAACAGTTTTTGACATTTTCATCAAATGTTGTTTCAATTAGCATTTTGATTTCGAATCAGGCTTCCTTGTTTCAAAATTTTTAAAGTAATTATAGATATAATAATATTAATGGTTACTGATATATCGACTACAGTCTACAGTCTTCTTCAGGCTACTGATTATAAATTAATTGTGAATTAGCATTTTGAAATTCTGAAATTGAAATCATGATTTTACATTTATAATTAAAGAAAAAATATCTAACTGAACTTACTTGTCAAAATTTTCTTCTCGATCTTGATTATCTACTTAAATCAGCCGTTGAATAGACCACACTCAGAATAGAATGGTTGTTCAATGGTTTTCTCTTCTTTATCGGCATGTCTTTTATTGTATTTTCCAATCAACCCATGATGACTAGAAGAAGATAAATGACTAATTAATTTATATAAAAATAAGATTTATAAAGTGGTTTTTTCACAAATTTTAATCAGAACGTGGGTTTTATTCGCCAACTATTATTTTCACTGCTGCCGTTATTAGATTGGATTTCTTATGTGTAATATACATTGGAGTTAAGACCTGATTGCAAAAACTATGTCCAAAAAATTGACAAGAACATCTGTGTTGTTTTGTGTAGTATAAAAGTTTGTGTATATATACAAAAATTATTTAAGTGGATTATGCTAAATGGTAAATGATTCATTGCAAATTAACTATTGAAAATTAAAGTTTTGTGAGATAATTCTTGATTTGTAACATCATTATTTGTGTGAAGTTCATATCAACACAAAAATTAGTCTACCACTCTTATTAATAAGAGCACTTTTATTGATTTATTAATAAATACATATAAATATATAAATAAATATTCTTGAATGTATAAATAAATATATAGATAAATATAAATATATATGAGTTTATAAATAAATATAAACATATAAATAAATATACATATATAAATAAATATAAATATATAAGTAAATAAAATAAAAAAAAAATTATTATAATAAAAAAATGTTATATTAAAAAAATTATAATAAAAAAACATAATAAAAAATATTATAATGAAAAAAATAATAATAAGAAATATATATAACAAAAAAAAATTTAATAAAAAAATAATAATAAGCATATATATTGATTTTTTTTTAATTACTAAAACATTAAAAATTCTACATTCGGTTATGTTTGGAGATCACTGTAGTAACTATTTGCGGTGGACACATATAACCCAGTTTAACAATTTTACATTACGGAAGTTCAGACAGGTTAATCGTTGGATCTGGCATTGACGCAACTTTGATTTTGTTTACGATTTTCTCTAAAACCTTAAATCATCTATCAACAAAATCATTTTTATATAAGATTTAATTACTTTAACGTTGATGTTTTTGATTTCCTTTTGGATATTCGTTGAATTATGAAACAGTAAACATTCAAATATCAGTTGTGCATAGCGATCACTGTAGTAACGCTTTGTGGTAGTCACGCATTTTCCAGTTTAACTTAACATTTCCCATTTCAGTAGTTCCATCAATTCAACGATTGCGGCTACTAATGAGGCAGATATGATTTATTGAGAAATTTAGTATGAATATCTCAGATATTTGCTTTTTCTATTTTTATTTGGCGAAACATAATTACTATTAAAAATAAAAACATTTTTAATATCTGATTTAATTATTTTAGTAGAATTTTTTTACTCCACGACACTGCTTACCTAATAACAAGTGTGCCTCAATATTCTGCAATTTTATTCTTGACATCATGATCTTGTGCTAATTTTAAAAAACATATTTCTATAAAATTAGCCTGAATTTGTTGAAATAACATGTTTTTAATATTTTTAATAACAACTTCATTTATACGAAAACAAAACAAAAGTTTGATAGTCGTTGATATGTAAGAATAAAAGTGCTACCAAATTTAATAAAAGTTTGCTACTTTTTCATATAACACTTATTAGATGTTTCACAACGTAAGCTGCTTAAATATATTATACGAAAATTTATAATACATATAAATACATTTTTATATATTATGTCAATGAAAATCAAGAAATTATAGATAACAGACTTATTATTCAAATTATAAAAATCTTATTATATTATAAAGTGACATTATATTACATGTGTGGCTATTTTGCCACACAATATAATAATTTATTACAAATGAATCAAGATATTATAATACGTCTTAATTTATTTATAAATTATTATAAATTGCGTTTCATTTACATATTTTGTGTCTCGTTGTTTTACAAAACGATGTCCCTATTCTTCTTTTTCCTTTTTAACACTTAATTGATTGCTATACAAAATAAAACTGTTCATACTAGATGGCGCTGGAGCATGTATGGCGGATTTACCACACATATATTATATTGAAGCAAGAAACAAGTATTAGCACATTATAATAGCAATAATAGATTATAGTTCTTTTCGATAATGTAAATGCAATAAAAGAATTTCATTTCTATTTTTTTTAGATCGAGTAAAATATAATAAAGCAAAAGACCTTACCATTCTATATTTACATTACGAACTTTGTTGGTAGAAGTCGACCAGCATACATTCAAATATGCATTAAAATTCAGCTGTTAGAAACATTTTCTTCCGTTGGATAATATGACAATTGTTCAAAAGAAGGCACCATTAATTGGTGGAAAGAAATCTTGAAAAATACGGCTAAGGTAACTTAAAATACGTCTACGACATTGTGATAAATGACGAATCATGTATCTGCGCCTAAGAACCCGAAACAACAATCAACTGTTTGAGTCTTTCAAAGTGAACAGAACCCAACAAACGTTAGTCCTGGTAGTTCAAAAACTCCGTATAGTGTAAGATATATGATATATACTGCAACCACCAGCAGCCAAAGGTACGTAATTTAGTAAAATTTCTAAATTTAATAAAGTATCTTCATCTATATCAGTTACTCAAACAGGGCTAAGTACGAGGCCGACACCTCAGTACAACTACGCCACTGTAAAGTATTGCTTAATGTTACTTTCTTTAGAGGAAAGCTCCTCATAATGAACACGTTTATAATTTTTATATACCCTACTTATTTATTTATTCATTTTTACATTAATGACATTAAACTTTATTATATAAATTACCTTCTTAAAACTATTAAACTTTATTATATAAATAATTATTATGAAGAATGTAATTGACATTTATGTTTTGAATCTATCATATTTTTATAATACGAAAGTAGAAATAGATTCCCTTCAAAATATATTGCCTCAAGACTATTAATTCTATTATATATTTATCCTTGGCAATTTTGAATGTTCAGGCAAAAAATTATTTACACAAATAATAAACATTAAACAAAGAATAAAAATATGAAAATAGAACAGATCGCGAATTTTTACAGCATATGGAAATTCCTTAAGTACGGTTTAATCACATTTTATATATAGATTTTGCTCAAGCGATCTTTTTACCTGCAAACACATGCGCACATCGTTCTAAATTACATTATACAGTCATTTTCATCCTTTTCATTCCTTGTTCTGAGAACTATTAGTTAGCATCACAAACAATTATAAGCACTTATATCTTATTTTGTTTTTAGTACTAATTTGTTATGCCACCATTTAAAATTGCCTGCATAGACTGCATACATTGTTGCTACACATTATTGCTAGACAATGTTGATATACATTGTTATCTGCATTGGGCAGATACTTTTCGGTTTAAGTTTTTTGTGAAATATTGTGAACTTAGTTTAATGGAATACTTCAATGAAGAATGGTCGTGGGATCGGACAAAGAAATTTTTTAAAAATTAATTTTAATAAAAATAAATATTAAATAAAATAAATGAAATTGACGCCCATACAGGGAACAGTGATTATTAGTGAAATTGTAAAAAGACTTGGATGAATCGAATAAAATAAAAGTATTAAAATTAATCAAATAAAAATTTAAAGTGAAAAGACTTGGACAAATAGAATAAAATAAAACTACCAAAATTAATTAAATTCAAATGTTAAGTGTCGGAAATAAAGAGTGCCATTAATATTTCATTGCCATTAAATTCAATCACTAAAGTACCACTAACTCAAAACATAATAAAGTGCTTCAAAATAAAGTGAATAAATAAAGACTTATCTTAAATATTATGACTTAGTCATTAAGAAATAGCGAAAGAAAGCCTTCAGTAGGAGTTTATTCTCAAAAGGAGCTCTCGTCCAAAGAGCAGTCAACTGCAAGACATTCCTGAAAATCATCACTGTTCAAATGAATAAGCTAAGATTAAGTGTATTTATGTAAGTTTAAAAAATACATTTTGTAAAATAGAAAAAAAAAGAATAATTTCAATTATAATTTATAATAAATTACATATTGAAAATATAGATTGTAAAATACAAAATATTGAATTATATTAAAAAAAGTTCAAAAATAATTATATATTATATATTAAAAGTATAGATGCCAAATACATTTTTAAGAAAATATTGAATTATATTAACAAAAAAGTTAAAATTATAAACTAAATATTGAAAGTATTAATTCTTAAATACATTTTGAAGAAAATAGTGAACTATATTAAAAAAGTTGATTAATAATTATAAATTATATATAAAAAGTATAAGTACTTAAGTACAGCCAGCTGCTTTTAAAGACAAAAAAAGTAAATATATATTGAATGATATTCAATAAACATCTCAGCTCTTCGTTAATTTTTATAACATAAAATTTTTTTAAACATATATTAAGAATATAAAAATTAATCATGTCTAACCTATCCAATATAATAAAATCACCAATTTTACAACCACAGTCATCTCGTCAAGACGAAAACCAAGACAGAAGACCTAAAACTACTGACGAATTCACATCTTTTATTACAAGACTAATTACTCAATGCACTGATTCACATAGTCGTGAATTATTTCATAGGGATTTTAATCGAAAAGCTGAAGTTTCATCAGCAACTGACCAGACTAAAGACTCACGATATTAAAACAATTAGACTGATTTCGACAAATTTATAGATATAATTCGTCCTTTAAGAGATTTTTTCGATGTCCTAAAAGAATTTAGAACCTTCCTAAAAACTATATTCTTCGGTTGAGAGAGAATATAGTGTTATCATAGACTATCATAGAACTTAATGCGATAACAATTGCAGATCGATATTCCATTCCAGATATTGAACAGCTTGAACAGAACAAATGGTTTAGTGCCTTTGATTTAAAAAGTGGTTTCCACCTAAGTCCTCTTAAGGAATCTAATATTGATAACACTGACTTCGGCATTAACAATTATAAATATAAACTTACTCGATTACAATTGATTTAAAGAACGCAATACTGAGTGCATTCAATACCATATTATATTTCAAGGCAATCATTTCACGCCTTGTATTTTACCATTTTTGCTCTTATTTCTAAGT